AGTTATCTTCTCAATTTTATTCATGCCTCACATGTGAGTAAAGAAACGCCTTCTTTGTATAGACGTCGTTCGATCTCGTTTTATCAACAGGATCGCGTCGTAAGGAGAGCCAGATGAAGAAATTTTGGTACCAAAGTCACTGTTCGACGCTATGGCAGAAGATTCAGGAGAAAATGATTTCAGCTTTGCCTCCTTGTTAACAAGACTAAGTTGATGAAACGAGATAAAACAACTTCTATTCAGAGATAGGGGACCAAAACAGAGACCACAGCATCTTGGTCTTCATACCTACTACAATCAAAAGCCTCCTTTGCCTCATACGCCACTTTGGTCCTTTCGATCGGGGGATGAAGTGAATAGAAGCGAAACTCTGCATTCGGGAATACTAACATCATTATACTAATACGATTAATGATAATTAATACATATATGTACACATTAATGCATATGCGCACACACTGGCATAAACAGGTACAGGCCTCTAGTTTGACACACGACACAAAGTAAACAAGACCACTCATAAAAATGCATGGGCCAGTGAGATACCCTGCTAAGATTGTGTCCTTCATAGTACATATCAAAGCTTACCATGTTCTCACTATAACCGAAGAAAAAGGCATCCGGGGCAAAGTCCTCAAGTATTTTCCAGTAAAGTCAACCGAAAACTGATCAATAGGACTCACCTGTCGTCTTTTGGTGGAATAGACCTTCAAAATTTTTCATCACACGCATTCGTTCGAAATGGAAGAGATGCAAAAAATTGTTAATCAAGATTCTTCACATATATGCTATTAACTGAACGAAATATAGGATAAGTCACTTTACTTTAAGTGTGATCAACGAAATATTTGTTTATTTGGTTTGATTTTGTTAGAACTCCATTTAAGAGGGATCATCGTTGATGTCACTGCATTGATGAAACAATCGGTACTTATTTATGACAAAGTGATTGGTATTATTGGTGAATTTCGCGTAGAGGATGATTTCTGGCTATAACAATGTCCGTCACATGACAGAGGAATTCTCAGAAAAAATAGATCAGTGCGGTATGTTGATGAGCCAAGGTCTTTTCAGATCAATCCAACAGTCATAAGCCCAGAACAACCATTCTTCGGCGTCTGATGACGTTCATTTGCGAATCCCTTCTATCTGTCTTTTCAAACGAAATGATAGGTAAGTAGGCATCAATATAGTAAAGAAGTATTCGAAACCCAATGTCCCTTCATCTCTCTTCATCACACATTTTCACTCGAAATGCAAGGGAGGTCAGTAATTGCCAACCAAGAGCTTGCTCTAAATTCAACTTTTCTCTTCGAAGGTAGGAAGAGCAAGAGTGTGGCCTTTTGTGTGGTCGCAGTCTCCTTTCGTTGTATAGAGGTTGTTTGACCTTGTTTTCGCAACTTTGTCATATTGGCAGGAAGACTTAGAGGAACGCATCTAGTCCGAAGTTCATTGCATGCATGATCATTTCCAAAGTCGGGACCTGGATGTGGTACATTCCCAGACGTTTCGCCGGCTTCATATTCGGCATCGTCAGTGAGTCTCGTCATTCCTAGCACCACACAACAACTCGTCAAAGAGACAAGTCAAGCAGATCCTTTGACCAAACGTGTGCTAAACAGTTGTGATATCTCCCTCTCTGTCCGGGCTATTCACATTTCCTATATCCTCCTATCACACCTTCACTGTTACCATGCTTATTTCGATGTAGTGTGGTGTGATCCTTTTAGCGGCATTCATGAAAATCCTTCACAGTCTACGCTGTCGTTCTCACCCCTTTCACCCTTGCGCTGGGAATGTTGACTAGAGTCTGCCATATTGTATCGGCCACGCCTTTGCTACATGAACCACGTCTCTGGTAAAATCTACTGTCAGCCAACTAGCTCCAGTCTCCGCCGCGTCTATCCTGTCTCTATCCCTAATAACAAGTCTATGATTTCCCCTGCCCTAGTCTCTTGTGTGCTAACCCACAAATGTTGTGGTACTGATTGCTTTGATTAGGTTCTATATTGAACCACAACGTTTGTGGAGTGCGGAGGATTCTCATGTAGGCCGCTCAAAAGGGCACCGTACCACATTTAATTAAGCAATTAAAGAATTGTGACAGTGAAGGTGTGATAGGAGGATAAAGGAAATGTGAATATGCCAGGGCAGAAGGGGAGATGCCACAACTGTTTAGCACACGTTTGTTCAAAGTAACGGCTTAACTTGTCTCTTTGACGAGTTGTTGTGTGGTGCTAAGAATGGCGATACTTACTGACGATACCGGCGAAACGTCTGGGAATGTACCGCGTCCACGGTCCGACTTTGGAAATGATCATGCAGACAATGGACTCCGGACTAGGTACGTTCCTATAAGTCTTCCTACCAATATGACCTTGTTGCAAAAACAAGGTCAAACAACCCCTATACAACTTTTCTTTCTTTATATTATATTGGCTGAACAAAATGCAGGACGATTCGCCTTAATTCACGTGTGATCAACAAACTAGTGTTTATATTATCGTTTTTATAATTATATTTAGATGGTGTATCATTACTGAGGCTGCATCTGTGAAACAAGTGGTGCTTCTAGTGGAATTTTAGGATGAATCGCCAGTAACAAATTGACCAGAATTTTTGCTGATTTCGTCGAAGCTAGTTCTTTTTGAACATATAAATTGGCAATAAATGCACACTCTGTCAAACAGACTACCCACTTCGTAAAATGGTCAGGAAACCTATGCTATAGCAAGGTCCCAGACTTTCAGGAAGTTCAGGCTGACATCGTCTACGCTTACTGGAGCGAAGAGGCGTGAAGACAGAAACATTCTCCTCTGTCGGCTGATGAAGGATTCGAAGAGCAATTGCATGCATGTACAAGGTAACGCCAGATTGTGAGAGGACAAGAAAAGGAAGAATATGAGAAATAAAGAGCGGCATAATGAGGGCAAACAAGTGGTAGGAAGTGGGTGGCCACATATTGACTGTGCACATGTCAGTGAGCCCACGACCCAAATGAAGCTGCACAAATGCGCGCAGATACGTACAGAAATGCTGGGCAACACATGAGTGGGCCGACTCTCCTCAGAGTTGTCCTGCCGACGAGGGAGGAGAAGAGCGAGGGGGGCAGACAACTTTGTGTCACCGCCGCCGACGCCGACGCCGCCTCGAAGACACTAGAAGATGGCAACAGGTGCGTCCGGAGAACTGGAGCCCTG